AGTGAGTTGCTTCGTCTATGATTGGCTTCCAAATTGATAAAATAAATACTGCCATTTTGTTTTTCTCTCATTTCTCCGAGGAACATGATTTTAGTTGACACAAGCCTCAATACACTTGCTTAAGCTGAAATTAAACTCTCTTTTCTTGTTGGTTTTTATTGGAAGAAGGAATGTTTTCATCACTTTGCATTAAAGAAGTACAAACATTCTTCATTTACATCAAACAACCCCTACTGTTCAAGCCCATTTATTTGACCATAAGGGAACAATTTCTGTGATCTGTCTCATATTAAATTAATAGCACCATTGAAGTCAGAATATGAAGATCAAAAACAAAATCCTGGTAGGGTAATAGCATCGGAGTTTTAATACGTTCTTAGGATATTAGTTTCATCTCATTAAAATTTGAAAATATTAGTGATACGCAGAGTGATTATTTGGGTCTCTTCCACTTTGGATTTTGCATCATTGAATCCAAAGAAATAGTGATTTGCAAATCAAGGTCATTTTAGCTCGTGCACTTTGTCATGTTAGCTGCACTGATCAGGTAGCTGTTAGTGTACTTGAATATCTAATCATCCTAAGTTTATCAAGGAAAGCTGCTCGTTTGAAGAAAAGAAGAAAAACAAAGCAACAATCAGTGAGACAGTGTCCTCTTGCTGGTCTCTCTCGTTCCATGGATAAGAAACAGAACGTCAAAAGAAGAAAGAAAGGGGCAAAAATGTTTTTTAAAGTAAAAGCCTGTTGTGTTTTTAAACTTTCAAGCCTTTTGGTCCCAAGATGAAATCAAAAGAGGGAGATGATGACGCGGCCAGACACGCCTACACGCGCAATTTTTCTGCAGAAGGGGTGTCCTTGGCTAAGCCTCCGAACCTAGCCCCCACCTCCCAGCCCCAGAGCCACAACCCAACCCCAAAAATCTCTGCCAAAGCCTCTCTATTAACTCCACAGATTTTACTGCTAAAATAACCAAAAGGGTTGCTGATTCTGTCAGGTTTCTCCCTATGCTTGTCTGTCTTGCTGAAAGCCCAGGGACAGGATCAGCTGAGTCATCTGCGGATGTCCTCCATTATTTTGTATTACTATTACGTGGCAGTTCTCTCTTGGGGAAGTACTGGTTGGACCCACAGGAGTTTGGATGGGGCCTAACTTGATTGAGAAAATTAAGGAATGTGAGGCTCAAGATTCGTCCCCTTGTTCATGTTGGGGTCCGTCCTCCGTCTTCGGTCTTCATTCCCACCAGAATAAGCTTGGACTAGAACACTGAAGTAGCTAACCAATAGTTACTTACCGAGGGACTTTCCTTGTCTTTTACTATCAGAAGTTGCTCAAGTCGGTAACCTATGTTTGAAAAATCACCCCGATCTTCATCTAATAATGTAAGTTGGCATGGGGGACATAAACTTGCACACCATTACTTCTAATCTTTCATCAATGCTATACACAAGTACGTACATGTACGATCTTGTGTTTTCATCCATACCTCTCGTTTTAGTACTTTATTAACATCTGATTACATGTACACGAGTCTGAATTTCTACTTGTTTTCAGCAAACAATTGTCATCTAGTTTTAGTGATGGCCGATGGGTGTCTTGTTGGAACTGAGTAAGCAATCTATAACGATAGCACTGAAACTGATAGGCAGTGGATGAAACGGTGTTGCCATTAGGACCACATTATCAAACTGTTTCCCCTCGAAGAAAGGCTTGCAAACACCAGCCAGCTTTAGTTGCAGTTTCTTGTCTCGCCTTGAGGCATGGAAAATCTATAATTGGATCACATGAACCATTGCCTGCAAGGCTGGCTTGGTTTTATATAAAAAATACTACAAAAGAACATTCACCACTAGCGCTCTCTGGTTTTAGGTACTCTAAAGCCCCCCTCATGGTTTCTTGTGACAAAAACAGGGAAGCCAAATGCCAACAAGGAAGACTGGTACTGATTTAAATTGGTTTAAGACTTTGACTCATTAATGGTCCTCAGCAAGTTAAGGTCCCAAAATTTCTTGGTTGAGAAATTTTTTTAATGTGCCAAATTTCGATGGACAATAGGACAAAGTACATGGAATTTCTATTGAAAAAAAAACATATAGTACTGGTACTTACTTCAGGCACCAAACAATTCTTTCCTATTAAATTATAAATTACATGGATTTGATGGAATATATAATTATTGAGATGTGAGCATTTTTTTCCCATGTCGGTGGGATTTTTTAATGGTTCAAGTGAAATCGACTTATAATCTAACTCAGTAGTTTCTTTCTTTTCTTTTTTTGGTTAAAATTATGCAAGGGTCATCAAAATGAAAGAATATGAGAAGGAAAGGGAGGCCATTAATATAAATTCGAAATTTCAAAATTTATGTTTTTCAATAGATTAAATGAAGAAAATATATATCCGTGACCGAATTTTGAAACTCGAACTTGAAATTTCAAAAAAAATTTAGATATTTTTAACAGCATATTACAGAGCAAACCCAGAAGCCATAATCCGAATCAGATGAATGCAATCCGTGAGGACATTTTTCATTAAAAAGCAATGCTCATAGTCATCCGTGTTCCCTAATGATTGATGTTAACCATTCAATGGTAGCTCGTGGCCTTTTACTTCATTCGCAGGATAATAATAATAATAATAATAATAACAATCTCTACATTTAAAAAAGGCCCATCTCATTAAATTGTTCCAGATGGATACAGATAACAGAGCGTGATTCAGCTCTCCCTCCAGGGCCCCTCCTGCCAGCGTTTTCTGTTTTGAATGTTTTCCTCTTTCTCCTTTTTTTCTTCCTTCAGAATTCATGCTTGTTTTATTAATTTTTCCTGTTTTTCCAGGTTCCTCTTCATGAAAAACAGTTACTTATCTGATCTGCCTTTTGTTTTTTAACCAGATATGCTGGTTGGGATGGAATTATTTAGGTTACAACTTGACATGATACGCATTTTTTTTGACTTGACCTAACGTATTAACTTGCAAGGGTTCATAAATATGGCCTTCCTTCTTCATTCATACGGTGGGTAATCTGCTTTTTGTTGAAGAAATAAAGGTAGAATTAGTAGTTGAAACTTACAAATTTGTGATTGAGAAATTTCATGTTTTGTTTTTTCATCATTTTTTTTCCAACAAAAAGGAAGTAATAATCCTAAAGATTTATATTTGACAAATTATCAATATATAGTTACAAATTGTCTTGTCATAAATGTGTAGAGTTTAAAGTTTATAACAAATTTGCAAAATCCTGGATTTTTATTTTTGAGAGTTTCAAGCTTTTAAATTTATTTACTAATCAGATAGGAGCGTTAAGTTAACTATTAATGTATAGAATCTATACACTGATAATATATCAAATATAAACTCTAATTAGAATAACTTTACAAAGAATTTCATGAGAAAATTCATGCCATAATTCATGAGAAAACTCTAATTATATTTTGTTTAGACATTTAAAAATTTATCAATTACATGGCAATTTTAATTTGTACTGAATTTGAAATTCATATATCTTCTCCCTCCAAATAAATTCAATATGGAGGACGTCAACCATAAAGGGAATAATCCCAACCCCAAGTTTGCCAAACAATTAGAAAAAATAGTTGCTCTACCTCCATTCATTGCTAAAGAGGCCTATAACCTAACATGATGGCAGGCATCCCTTGTGTTATTAGACTGAAAACTTGTCACCTCATTAATGGAAAGATAACCAATGAGGAACAAGAGTAAAATATAATCATTAAGGAAAAAAATAAAAAAAAAACCTAAAGTAGTTGCATATGGTCAATAATAATTAAAATTACATACTGGAAAAGGATGATGCAATGTCAATTCCCTTATAAATGAGATTAACTAACACCCTACTCCCACTTTGTACAAGGGTTGTATGCTGCAGGCTTTGGACCTTGCTAAGTTTACTATTCCCTTCATTCACTTTATTAAAATGCAACAAATTTCTGTACGCAAAAAGTAATGTAATAAATTCAGTTGCCAAATTTTACTAGATAACGAATTTTTGCAATTCTTTCTGTACAGGATTTTTTTTTTAATTTCATTGCTTTTTTTAATGAATTAAGATAAGAAATATTAAGATATAATGTTTAAAAAAAGTCTTTTAATTATTTAAAAAATTATAATAAACAAATTTTTATTATTTTTAATTTGAATCAAATAAATTTTTAAAATCAATAATTGACTAATAATAATTATTTGTCATTTTATGTCACGTGGTAGTACTGTAGTGTTATGATTTCATGATCACATGGTCTACAGTAATCATTTGTTATTTTTTATTACATGGAGTTAAAGTATTATGATTGTATAGTACTTTTTATACAACATGTTAATATCATATTAGTATTATATGAATATAAAATAATATTTTATCTAGTTGTACTTAGTGAATTGTTAGTTATAAGATTTATTTAACAAAAAAATAAAAATATAAAAATTTTAATTAAATGTAATCAAATAGTAAAAATTTATTTAAATTTTTTTATATAATTGAAGAGTTTTTGAAACAACTTTGAATATTAAAATTTATTTTATATTAACAAAAAATGAATCAATAATTTAATAATAAGGATGATTTTGTATGGATATCTAATGATGTTTAATGACATGTTTAATCTTAATTTCTGAGTTTTTTTTGTTTTTTTCTAATGAGAACCTTTATTTTAATTTTTTGTAATGATTGATAAAATAAGAATTAAACGTACCATATAAATAATATGTCCATAAAAGGCAACAGCCAATAACATACCGAAAAGTGGCATGAATAAAAAAACCCTTTGGATTACTGGGGCTCTCTTCACTGATTCAGTTCAGCCGTTCGATTTCTTACCACAACGTACTTACTTCGTCCAGCGCGTGAGACACACCCGATTCCCCTCCGAAATTTACATACTTATAACAAAAAGTTTTTCTTTCCAATTTTATCCTTCCCTAGTTATTCAAATTACAACTTTTAGCATATTCAATAAAAAGTACAGCCATTTCCATTTCTTCAACATCAGACACTATCACCCTCTATAAACCTCTGCTCAATTCCTTCTCTCCGAAGAACTTAAATTGAAAAGAAAAAACGAAAAAGAAAAGGAAATGGAAAAATCCATTGTCGAACCGTGGAGGCCAGAACCGGTGCCGGTGCCCTTCAGGCCACCGGAGACGCCACGTGAACCAATGGAGTTCTTGTCACGTTCATGGAGTGTTTCAGCTTTAGAGGTTTCAAGAGCTTTAGCTCCTCCATCATCCCAAGCTGCTGCTTCTCATCAAGTGTCTTTGAAAGGTTCTTCGAGTGGTAACGTTGTTATACAAGAAGACGTCGCGGGTGAGCTCGAAGACAGCGGCATAGTTTCAGGCAACCCTTTCTCTTTTGCTTCTTCTGAAACTTCCCAGATGGTCATGGAAAGGATCATGTCACAGTCGGTACGCATAGCAAAACAATCCCCCATATGTCGAGACAAAGAAATTTTTTCATTCTTTTTGAGGTTTTGGTTTTTAGTTTAACGTTTTCACTTTTTCATTTTTTGTTTTGTTGTTTCTAAATGGTTTTTTCCTTAATGTTTTTCTTTTTGGTTTTCAACGTCTGGGTACTTTTCATTTTCTTTGTTTTGGATTGTTCTGTTTCGTTTAAAACAAAATATTCTTGTTTTGCCTTGTTTGTTTGTAGGAACATTCACGAAATTGTGCAATAACTCAATCATTCAATCTCTTTAAAGTTCCATTTTATTTTTTTCTTTAAGAAAATCTGTTGTTAAAGTTTTCTTCTGTTGTCTCCTTTGTAATAGCAGCAAGAAGTATCTCCAAGAACTTCAGGGAGGCTATCTCATAGCAGTGGGCCATTAACCGGAGGTGGTTCCTTAACAGATAGTCCTCCAGTTTCTCCTTCAGAGATTGATGATGTTAAGGTGGGTTTTATTTAACTCACAACTGCCCCTGGAAAACATGAAGACATTCAATAATTTCGTGAAAGAAAATCGAAAGAAAGAACATTCGGGGAATTACGTGGCTTTTAACTTTAAAGGAATAAAAATTTTGTATTCAAGTGTTTGTTTCTGTTTTGTTTGGGGACACTTTTATGCAACAAAGCACCGATTTGAGCTTCTGAGTCACTGACTCAGACATATAATTCTCAGGCTTTCACTTTAACCAAAGCCCTCTTTTATTTAACAGAGTAACAGACCCCTGAGCCAAATAGAAAAGAAAGTGAGAGTGTAGCATGTGTTTTTGCTTCACTTTCTTGTATGTTAAAAAAAAAAAGAGGAAACTTTTTTACTTGTTGGAAAGAAAGCTACATCCTTTCACTCGAGTGATTCTGCTTTGTCTAGTACTAAATATTTTGTTTTTGGATTACCAAAGTTGCCCTTGTTTGGTTTTGAGTTCTGTCCCGAAATATTTACTGTCCTTTTGATAGGAGTAAGTACGCGGGACGCGTTGGTCCCCAAAGGTATTCGTTACCATTCTCAAAATTGAAAGGTTTCATTTAATGGTCTAAAGGTTTAATTTACTAGACCCCAAAGAAAACTCGCCTTTCTATGGCGATGGTTAATGGTTATTATGTTAACGGGCTTTTTCCTTTTTGTTTTAAAAATATTTTCATGTTGAATTCTTAATATAGATGAAAAGAACTATTTTCATTTCATTAACGGAAAGAGTCCCAATTTAGACAATTCACTCCAGCGAATGACAGACGCCCATTCACCTTTGCAGCAATTTTGCCGCGCCAATAATTCCCTCAATTCGCAGTTTCGTACAACCGCTTCTGTTGCGGCGGCCACCCCCGCTACAACCGCCGTGACAGGTGGCGGAAAGACGGTGGGACGATGGCTGAAGGATAGGAGGGAGAAGAAGAAGGAAGAAACGCGGGCTCATAATGCTCAGCTGCATGCTGCTATTTCTGTTGCAGGGGTTGCGGCAGCCGTGGCTGCTATTGCGGCCGCCACCGCTGCCTCCTCGAGTGCCGGAAAGGATGAGCAGATGGCAAAGACGGATATGGCGGTGGCGTCAGCTGCCACCCTTGTAGCTGCGCAATGTGTGGAGGCGGCAGAAGTCATGGGTGCGGAGCGTGAGCATTTGGCCTCCGTGATCAGCTCCGCTGTCAATGTCCGGTCTGCTGGAGATATCATGACCTTAACTGCTGGGGCAGCAACAGGTATACAAAGATTATCCAACATTTAAGGAAACAAAATTTAGCTTTGTCCAGTGCGATTGTGATTTAATTCTTAAATGAAATGGTTAAAATTTTTTTGGGGTGTCATGGTAGCATTAAGAGGGGCGGCCACCCTGAAGGCAAGGGCGCTGAAGGAGGTATGGAACATAGCAGCTGTTATTCCTGTGGATAAAGGTGGTGGCAATGGGAGCAATGGTAGCTCTAATGGCAGTTTTAGTGGGGAGCTTGTTCCCGAAGAGAATTTCTTGGGAATATGCAGTAGGGAATTGCTTGCCAGAGGTTGTGAGCTTCTCAAGCGCACACGAAAAGGTAAATTTCATTGATGCATGTTCTTTGTTTCTTGGGATAAACTGAGGAGAACAATTTTGTTTGACTTATCGGGTTGCTTTATTGGAAGACGTTATTACACAACATGTTATTTGATTATCCTTTCTCCATTTTTGGTGTGGATAGTTAAATTAGTTTCAAATGGTGACTGCTCTTGGTTAAATCATTGTTCTGATTGTTGCAGGTGACCTTCACTGGAAGATTGTCTCTGTTTATATAAACAGAATGAACCAGGTACAGCTATCTGGTTCACAGCGTTGTTTCTTTGATATTTTAATGAAAGATCTAATTGCTCAATTATTGGGGAATCGATTGTGCCTTAGATTACATTAATGAGTGTGAACCTGGGAGGGTAAAAAGTCCCTGAACAAAAGTTAAAATTCTTAAAAGGGCGATGCGATAAATTGATCCGTTTGCTTTCTTTTTCTTCTTTGTTACATTCTTTTAACTCTTTTGAAGCTTCTTTTTGTTCAGGTTATGTTGAAGATGAAGAGTAGACATGTTGCTGGGACCATCACAAAAAAGAAAAAGAGTAAGTGATTACTTTTGTCTTTCTCTAATAATGTGAAAATACAGAAATGGATGTGGGTCTTTCTTTGTTCCGTTTGGGGATTTGAGAAAGCTAGAGGCGCTAAAGTAAAAGAAGATCAAAAGGGGTTGTCTTTAACCTTTAATCTTCCTCACTTTTTTGAAATTTTCTGCAGATGTGGTCTTGGAGGTGATTAAAGATATGCCAGCATGGCCTGGCCGCCACTTGCTTGAGGGTGGAGAGAACCGAAGATACTTCGGATTGAAGACCATAATGCGCGGGGTTGTAGAATTCGAGTGCAGGAACCAGAGAGAGTATGATATTTGGACTCAGGGTGTGTCAAGGCTCCTCTCCATTGCTGCAGAGAAGAACAGCAGAAATAGAATTTGAAGCTTTGGGGTACACTGGGGGGAGAAAGAGAAATCTGGCAAAACAAAAGCAAGCGGGGTGGGGGGTATATATACATATTGGGGTTTATAGGATCAAATGCCTCTTATGAACATATCAGATTTTTGGAAAGATTTGATGGGGCTGTGATTTTTGGGTGTTTTTCTACTGTAACAAAAGTTGAAATTAAAGAAAAAGTTATCCAAATGCGTTTGTGGGCTATTCTTCTTATTTTTGACCTGGAAAGAGTAAAGTGATTGGAGTCCAAGTACCCAAACCCATGTGATCCAACTCTCTTGTTCTTTCACTGTTGAGGAAAGAAAAAATTTGAGTATCTTGGACTGGGGATGGTCAAAAAGAGGGAGAAAGGAATCCCATCTTGATGAAGGAATTATATATTTCAAGATGATAAAGACAGACACCCCTGATTCTATGTGCTTTATTATTTATTCATGTGAGCTGAGCTTTTTGTTTCTTTTAAATTACCCTTTGGGCTCTTAGTTTTAGGTGTTGTATATGGTGGGACTATGATTGTCTTTGATTTGTATGTCACATTCTAATATATGATAATAATCTGGCTCGGACTAAGTGAATCAAAAGAGTTTGGTGAAAATATCTTATTTGTGATAGCTAAAGAGAGGATGAGAATCGAGATCTTAGTTGTCAGAGGAATGTTTGATATTTCACAATTTCTTAGAAACTGTCTCAAATGATGCTTTCAGACTTGGATGAATTAACACTCTCTGATAGACTCTTGCTCTTACATATAAATATAATATTATTTTAATTAAACTGTATAATTGTTTGCTTTGTTAATGACAAATTATTCTTTTTGGACTGTTGTGAGTTTAGGAGTTTGGGTTGCTCCAATGAATGACTTGTGAACCTGCCTTTCTTTCTCCATTCTGGGGGACCACTAGAAATCTGCCTTCTGTTTTCTACCTTCTCGATTCTGCACGTCAAGTTTTGGTTGGGGGATGTGGGTGGTAGAGCTGGACTCGATGCAAAAGCCGACAGGAATTTGTTGGAGGAGCTGCCCAACTCGTGACTTGTAAGCAAGGCTCAAAGTGTCAGTTTGGGCCTGCCATCGAACTGCATTTGATCATTGAGAAAAGGGTTCGGCCAATTTAACTCATTGTGGGCTTTCCAACTGTTTAATGTCCGTCTTCAAATTCATATACAGTCGCGTGCAGAATGAAAACGATCAAGAAGCAAAACGAATTTGTAATTGCAAAACAAGAACAGCGTGATACCCTGCCGGAAAGAGGAATAGAAGAATGTCCCTCCCAGCTTTATAAAGAGAGGAGGGTGAAGATAGATAAGGGAATACTAATAGGAAAAGAAAAACCAGAAAAAGAACGGTTACCATAGCCAAAGGGAAGATCAAATTAACAGAAATCATATTATGATACCAAAATCAAAAGTAATAATAATATGCACATGTCCTATTCACCTATATTTTGAAAAGATTTACATGCTTAAGGTTTTTTATTTGAGCAGTAATTGTCCTGCTAATAAAGGAGTCAGGAAGCTACAGAAGGATGGATAGAGCAGAGGCGCCACGCCACGAAGGTGCTTAGCCCTCAGATGCCCCGAGTACTGAAATGAAAAGGTTTGATAATGTCCAGATAAAGAGAGACTGAGGCCGAGACATATTCATCATAGCTGTAATGCTTGAGTCAACTTATCAGTGTCATATACTATAAAACCACAGAAGATGATTGCAGCAATGCTAGCTTTCCAAGAGGAAAAAGAACTGTCCATTGGAGAAAAAAAAAGTCCATAAATCAGAATTTAGGAAGTAGGAGAGAAACAAGCAAAATATAAAAAACTGGAAGAGAGGGAGGAATCTCAAGTATAGGAAAATGAAGGTATGGAAGTGCAAAATAAACCTGCATGAGAGCAAAACCACAGAGCACACAAGGGTCTCCAAGGAAGCTAAAATCATAGCCTTTGTTAGCTGCCCCAAAATGTGTAGAGCGTTGAGGATTAC